GAGGCTGAATGTGCAGCCTACATTACAATTTAAGTTAAAACACTGTCCAGTCATTTTCTAATCAGCACAGGATTTCCTCGCATTTTTTTTTCTAGCACATAAGAAAGCAAACAGTTCATTTACTCTTAAATAAGGACTTTTTACAGAAAAGTGAGCGGGTACTTACTGATTCCTCTGTCTTCATGGCTGTCATCATCCCTCTCATCCCTATCATTTTCCAGGTTCGACATGCGCACGGACATTTCTACACACCATTACAAACAGAAAAATGCAACTGTTAAGAGAAGAATTTTGGATGAACTTGCTAACAACCATCACCTTGATAACGGGGTAGAAGCACTTTGCAGTACTGCATTAAGAGATATGGCTGGAGCCTGGTAAGCTATTTTCAAGGCAGTTGGGACTAGGAATAGCAGGAAAACGATACGTGCCTCATCCTTGAGAGGAACAGGCTTTACAGCAGGGAAGAGCTTTAAAGACAGTGACCTGATTCAAAATAAAGGCAAGATAATCTATGGTAAATAAGGTATATAAGGTAAATAAAGGTAATTAGGATTGATCACTCTCTTGCCTGCATTCCTTTCTCCCAAACAGTTTTCTCTCTCAGACTTTAATGGTGTTGTTACAAAAACAGTCTCTCATCATGCCCTAAAGGTCCTAGAAAGGCTTCTATGCCTTGCTCCCTAGAGTCATAAAAGAAAGCATTTTGCTCTCTTTTCCTGTTTTGATCTATATATAATAAATATCCCATGAACATGAGCATCACATGGAAGAGGAGTAGGAATATGAGCAAAAAGGACACAGCCAAAAGAGTCCTAGCGACAGGGGTGTGAAAACTGTAACACTAACATCAGCAGTGCTGAAGAGCAAGAAACGGATAGGACCAAGGTGCTATCACAAGGTCCAGAACACCGTAAAGCTGGGCTGACCTCCTTTGCTCTAGAACAGACTTCAGCCTCCAGCCTGGAAATAATGAAGTTCTGTGCACATTTGCCAGGAGGCAGCAGGTCTGGCAGCACCCAGGAGAGGGCAGTAATACACAAGCATGTGGACAAGAGCTTGCCTTTATAAACGTTGGAAATGGGAATACAACAGGGTGAGGCATTGAGGGGAGAGAAAACCACGGGACGCCTTCTGACACTACATGCATGGGTGAATTTCTTTCAAATTCTCTTTTAAATTCAATCTCTTTTAAATTCTCAAGCCCTGCTTCTCTCTCTGGAGTTCTCTGCTCACCCTGTGCAGCCAAAGGTGACATGTGCTGGTGGCTCCTGCGGTGGATCTGGTGACGATACGCGTACACGGCGAGGACCAGCACCATGATGCAGCCCATGATGCCGCCGGCCACCGGCCCCACCGGGGCGCTTTTGATCATGTTCAGAGTGATCACCTCGTCCCCTGCGCCAAAGGGACGAATCAGAGGTAAAATAAATACATAAATGCTTTGCTGAGAAGTTTACACCAACATCTCTGAAGGCTGGAGAAGGCTTTCCGGGGAAGGCAGGCACAGGGAAGCACGCCTGCCAAGGGAAATTCCAAGGGAGGGCAACACTCATCCTAAGGACGGGAATATAGGGAAGGCAGGCACAGGGAAGCACGCTTCCAAGGGAAATTCAGGGAGAGCAACACTCATCCTAAGGACGGGAATATGCAAGACACACTGGGCTACATGAAGCCTTTCAAAAACATAATACCCACAACAGTCCTGATGCCAAGCCTTTACAGCCTGATGTACTATTTTAGGATAATCCACAGTTAGCATAAAAGTTAAACATGTCACTTGAAGCATGCACTGACTGAAAGTGTCTTACCAAACACCAGCAGCTAAAATAGCAGCTATTTAGAAAACTAGAGTTACCTATAGCTCCCAAGTCATCCACATAGGGGCTCTTTGCTCCCACGATGCCACCAAAGCATTCCTTCTGAGGGGCGCAGTAGGATTTATCCAGGTGGGTCTTTCCATCACTGTCTACCATACACCACTCACAGTCCAACACACCAAAGCAATCCCTGAAAATTTGAAACAAAGACAGAAAAGATTTACTTTCAAGACCATCTGCAATCTGAGCAAGCATCCTCCAAGACTCTTTGTTTTGTTTTACTATTTCTCTGTTGCTCAGACTGAGCAAATGGAGAACTTCCCACTCATAACTCCAGTGAGATATTTCTCAGGCTTGTGAGGCCCAAGTAAGGTCCCAGCCCTCTTCTGCAATGCTTGGGAAGAAGAGAGAGGTAAGAGCTTGGGACTTCTAGTCAGAACACAGGGTGTTCTCACAATTTCCAGTTTGTGGCGATCACTCATAGCTGGCAAAAAAATGGAGAAGCCATTAAGCTGCTCTGTGCAATGCCAGCAGCAGAACAGAGAAGCAGGAAACTAGAAACCACCAGGAAGCTCTCAGACCTCTCGTGTGCTCCCAGCTCGCCACCCTGGCAGCATTCTCTGGTTTGCATGAGCACTCTGGTCCACAAATCCCACACAAGACAGACAAACACTTCCCTTCTGCTAAAAGGAGCGTCTTTTGAACAGCAGATCTGTTCTTCCACCGCACAACTGCTGGTTCTTATGTACTCAGTCACAAAGTGTGACAGGAAAGCCATTTGTTTGCTATTAATGTGCTACGTGACTCAAGCAGGAATACTGAGGTCTTATATTTCTGCCCTGCAGCCTAATGGCATCAGGAGTGGGTGTTATAACAGCTCAGTCTGGCAGCAGACTTTTCTCCTTTTCTTTCTAAATTTCATAAAGAAGAGCTATCTTAATTTGAAGAAATAACATTCCTAATCATTTCAAGAGGACAGGGTATTTTCAGGAATGGAAGACTCCACTTTACCCGCTCTCTGTTCTCTGATTGCACTGAGTATTAATACACTGGGGCAGAGCATCCTGGAGGCTGGGATCAATCGCTGTGAAAGTCATCGGCTCCTGATGAACTTCGCAACTAGGATTCCTGCAGGGGCAGAAAGTAAAACCTTGTGATATAAGGAGTAATCAAAGCACAAGCATTGAAAAAAATGACTTACTACAAATCAGATTAACTTAATTATGTTTATAAAAGTACTGTATGATGAATCCCACATCAGCTGGAAGACATCATGAGCCAGCAGCCCGTTTTGTCCGTTCTGTCACCCATCAGCTATGCCGCTGAGCAGAACACGGGTCCTCACCTGCTTTCTGCGTTAGTAAGGTTGCCAGTGCACTCGTTTACCTCCAGAGGACACTCACAAGGGCATTCACACTCGTTTTGTTCCATTCTTGAGTGGCAGGAAAAGAAGAAAAAGAGAGAAGCATGAGCATCAGGCCACCCGCACGCAGCACCGGCACCTCGAGGCCTCCCTGGCCCTCGGTGAAGGCTGCTCCTGGCTGCCACGGAGACCCAGCTCCGTGCTTTAACGGAGCCTCCTGGATCCGGCCTCACGGCTAGGACACAGTCGGCACCTTGCTACATCCAAAAGGCAGACAACAACCCCCAGACAAGCCTTATTAGACCTCAACCTACACACAAGGCTCCCTTCCAGTGCAACACGCACGGTCATGCTGATACCTCCTGCAAGCACAGGCCCCCCTCCATGGAAGAAAAGACATTAATTCACATAAAACAGTGGGTATTAATAGGCCAGAGCAAAGAGCCTTAACCACAGATTATTCCCTCTCTGAGGAACTTAAGCAGTCATGGTCTTTGATGCATAACAAAGCATATGAAAATGTCCGAGGAAACAACCCTGAGTGTTTCCTAACCCGCTAACATCATGACCAAGGGCAAGCAGGCGTGAGCTAAAGCCACTGCTTTGCTCTCAGCCGGGTGGCACCGCGCGGAGCTCTCGGAACACCCGTTTCAGCGCGGCCGCCGCTCACCGGTGGCAGTTGAGGCACAGCCGGTCCACCATGCTGCAGGCGCAGAAGGCCAGCGAGTCGCAGGTCTCGTTGACGATCCCCACGGAGGCGGTGGTGCCCGGCACCCGCGTCAGCCGGTACTTGGAGCAGTGACTGCCGTGCACGAGGTTGGTCAGGTCTCCCTGCGGAAAAGCAAGGCGGGTTGCAAGGCGGCCTAGGGAGCCTTTGCTGGGGCGCCGGGGTCCGTCCCCTTCCCCAGCAGGGCTGGGGACACACGTGTCCCAGGGCACCTTCGTTTCAGGTGCCTTGCAATAAAATCATTCCAACTGTTGTGTTTTCCCTATCTTTCAAATTACCATGGGGTGAGAAGACTTTGGTGAGGATAGAAGAACCAGCCTTAGTAGTAGCACCATGACTATGTGCTTTTTGCGGGGGGCCTCGTCTGAAACGCCACCACAAGTGGGTTACGTTGCTCTCCGACGTGCCGCTCACCCACCCTTCCCTGCGTGGCAGCCAGCTCTGCCCTTCCCAAAGAGGCTCCTTCTGACTGGGAGGCACCACCAAAACTCGCTGAAAGCTTCCTGGCACATGTACTATAAAAACACCCCACGGTGCCCCACAGCTGCAATCTATTTGGGAGGCAAACTCATTCGCTGTACTGATTTGCATGACATAATCTTAAGTTTTTGCTCTGTCCCATACCATTTCCTTTACAGTCGTACACTTTGCTATTTTGCATTTCAAATGTGGGGAAAATGTTCAAACTCATCTGACATAAATCAATGCCTCATGACATAACTTTCAAATAATTCTGACGCTCATTTCCCACCTTCTCCTCCCAGTAATAATTGGAAAGTATTAAAGAACGGCTTCTCCCATGGAGCTTGGCATCTTTTGCGTTATTTTATAGAGGTCCTAAAGCAGTGGATCCGTTGCCATCAGCATCCAGGACACAGAGACGACAGCCTTTTCTGGCTCTGCTCTCCGAGCAAGGCAGAGGCAAGAGGAAGCTCACGCACAACACGCTGGAGGACCATGTAGCCAGCTCTTCAGAAGACTGTGGTCTGACATATTATATACCCTGGATGCTCATGTACGTTTTTTCAGTAAATGCACTGGCCACCCAGTTAGAAGTTTACTAAAGACCTTTGCTGTCCATATCTCAGGAGGATATGACATGAGTCAGAGTTGGAAACGAGACGTCCGATGGCTGGATGCGATGCAAAAATTCCCAACCGCTGCTGGAAACTTCTAACCTCGTGCTAGGGACCTTCTCCTGGACTAGTGCTTGACAGCAGGCACAGCTGGCCAGTTCTCACATCCGTACCCCATGGTGGGCAGCTGACTCGTGCAAGCAAACGCCTGCGCTCCAGATCACCGACCTCGTGTTTGCAGAGGGCGGACAGAGGCCAACCCACACAAAAGGGTGGCCCTGGTGTCATTTCAGCTGGTGCTGGCAAGGATTTGTGTTCCTACCAAAAGGAATCCAGCCTAACCAAGCAAGCTCAGAAGCAAACTAAAAACACATACACACTTACCACTAAGCTGGTGTTGAATTTGTAAAACCGCTGGACTGTTCTGTCGCTGAAGCTGTTGCAGAGGTTCTTCTTGACAAAGTTGGGGTGGTTGAGAATGTCATTGGCCACCAAAGGCTCCTAAAGGGAGACATATAGGATTTTATGCCTTTTTTAAAAACATGCACAAACAGCAACTTGTCTGCATTCCTTACAATCTCTGAAATTAAAGGTAGCTCTAAACCATGAGAAAAAAAGAGCCAAACCTTGTGTGTAATGTGCTGTTGCTCCACCGGCGCGTGTCCTTTGGGATCGATGAGGGTTGGGTGTGCCACGAGATACCCTCTGTCTTCCATAATGAAGCACCTGCCCCACAACAAAGCAAGGGTACAGCCTCTGGTTAGAATTCCTTGGCTTTTAGAAAAACTACTGTGAAATATAATACGACCCTTACACCTGGAATAAGGCTTCCATTTAATAAGAAGAACATGACCATTAAAAAAGTTCATTGGAAAAAGTATTTAAAGAATATAAGCGTATTTCCCTGAAGCTTTTAAACCTGTTTCTGTTGCAGCAAGCCTGGACAGACATCAGGAACATGAAAATAGAACCGACTAGTGACAAAAAGAAAGGCCAATCGGCGTATTGTCAAGTCTGATTTGAGAACAAACAGAAATAAAATATAAAGCATCATGAACTTCAAAAGACTTACTTAACAGTTTATTAATCTATCCTATGACTAACTGAACACAGATTTCACACTCTCATTTAATGACCTCCTGCTTTAGAAGCAGCCTTGAATTCAAGTTTAACTGAGGGGTGATAAATGACCTCTATTTAATTTTCATTTTTCTCTGTCTTTCCTCTCCCCTTTCTGGTTCTTTATGAACTTCCCGTGTGATCTCGGTGAAATTATATCCTATCTGTGCCCCAGGATCCTCACCTAGAAAACAGTGTGCTGAGAGGTTTTAATCTGCAATGCCTGGTCCTGCAATGCATTACACCAGGCCTCTGTTCTCTGCTTTGGATTCATTCATGATTATCAGTACCCCAGCACGTGTCATTACCCAAAGAATGCCTTGTAGAGATGCATTAAAAGAAATAATAAATAAATAAATAATTTGTAGAGATGCATTAAAATAAATAAATAAACAAACTTGCTGAACTGTTAAAACTAGC